TGTTAGAAGTCTTCAAAGTCAACAACGCAGTCAGAAGTCTCATGTCAGTCTCATCCAAGTCATTAATGAATTTTTCCTTGCTCACTTTACTATCAAGGAATTGGATCAAGCGTGGAGTGATTTTGTCATCTGTGTTCCCCGTCTACAAATAAACCAGGTCACAGCCTGTTGGATCGTGTTTGTCAAGAAGAGGTTGTTTGAGTGTTGTTTAGTTTCAACCTCACATGCTTGTTATTCATGCCCTCGCTCGAGGGGGATATTGGAGTTGAATTTGATTATTCAGTCACATCAAGTCGCGACTTCAATTCCTTATCCTACAAGTCAATTTTCTTTGTCCTTGCGAAACAAGTCTTTCTTTGTCTTGGTCGCAAAGGGTTTACTTACACTAGCCCTTATGTTTATCTCAAAAGATTAGTTACACGTCTTGTTGTAAAGCAAGCCATCAAAGTGTAGTCCTCTAATAAAATCACCAGCCGCAAGCTCTTCTATACTCACCGTGGATTAGTCTCGTTCAACTTGAACGAGCATACCTCGTAAAAATTATTGTGTTGTGTGATTGTTTCATTTCTGCTTTATCGATTTCTTCAAGTATGAATTATGGTGATCTTAGATACAAACTCAATATGATTTTATCACGAGAGTCAAGCGGATGTGATTGGTTTAGTTAGTTAGTTAGTTAGTTATCATTAGTTTAAATGCAAGATGGAAAATGCGGTTGCAAACGTCAAGCTGCGAATGCAAATCAGTTAAACAACAAATCGCATTTGGTAACATTGGTGAGGTTGGCGGGAAAACTGAAGGGCGCGATTTTGTGGGTTTAGTACTGTTTGTTTTGTATTACGTCATCCCACAAAGTCATAACTTGTTAACGGGATTAGTTGGCCTACTCCTGCATGCCTTCCCAACTTCCTTCTTCTACTTCATTACTTTGTTTTCTCGGAATTTTTCTTTTGCTTCAATTTGTGGACTTCCCAAATCTCCATTGTGAAAATCTGGTACCATTATCCAGTATTCAATTTGATGTGGAGGGAGAGGGACTCACTAAATTTGACGGGACTTCAACTGTTTGTATCAAATGAGCTATTAATAAATATAAAAAATGAACTATTACTTAATAAGTTACTAATTTATATATGACTTATAGGTTTTTTTGGTTATATTTCTTAATTTTTCAAATTGGGCTCAATATTATGTAAACTTGATTTAGACAAATCCCACATCGATAAAGTACGAGAGATCCATGATTCATAAATAAGAAATTAATTTTAACCGATATGACACATTTTGGGGTGAAATTGAAGAATTCTTATAAAACTCCGATGTTAAACGTGCTCATTGTGAAGCACTGCGAGAATGAGTGACCTCTCGGGAACATCTAGACCCCTAGCGGACAATATTTTAGTTGAAAAAAGTGTGTGAAGAATTCAACCAAAAATATGTTACATGAAGAAAATGAAATTCTTAATTCTCCAACGTTGGAAAATATATATAATTTTAAGAATCGGAAAAAAGTAGTAATAAAGAAAAGAAACGTTATTTTCTAAAACATCACAAAGGCAAGATTTTGTGTAGAAGAAAGTACAGTCTACAGAAGTTAATTACTGTTTATTTGGAGGAGAGTTGAAATATATGCCAATTTGCCTCATCATTGAGCTTATTTGTAGAGCCAAATTCGCATTTAGCTCATTAAATTCACTTATTGCGCTTTGTTTGAGTTTCAATTTTCACAAACGAGTCGAGTTTGAGGCTTATCCAACTCGTCGCAAACTTGAGCTCAAGTATACTTCTTTAAGCAAATCGAACCAGGAAAAAAAGCTTACCTCAACTCGTCAACCGCCCTTCCAACAATCATTTTGATATCTAATATGATTGAACAACAACAATCCAACTGACCTATAATCCATATTCTGATTAATCAGCTTGTTATTACCAACCTAATCCGATAACCCATCTAATCCATAGCTTCGTTACCCAACCGAATCCAACCGGAGCTTACCCCATTTTATACCTCTAGGACTAAAAGTGAATATCATCATCACCATTCACCAATGCATACCGGGGTGTTTTCCCTTTTATTTTATTTTTTTGGTCTCGAGAAAAGTCTAAACAGACAGCAGCTCAGGGGAACTGAAAAAACATGGCATGTGTTGTATTATGTGGTCAACTTGATGAAATAATAATTGGGTGCTACTTGAAAGGACTCAACGTACCATATTGTGGACCAAAATACACAATTCTTAAAGGCTACAGAAGCTTCTGACTGTGGATTCATTATTTCAACTGCCCTTGATACATAACGACTCATGACCTAGCTAGTCAGCTTTCCTGTCACAGGATAGCCATCCTCATAGTAAACAAGAATGGTTAGGAGAATATGATTATTGACCTGGTATGATCAGTTCTAGGGTTGAGATATTGGTTTCGGTTTTCCGGTTTAAACTGAAACCGAACCGATATGGACCTTATCGATTTTTTGATTTTTGGTTCAAAATCGGTATGTATCTTATTTGTTTCGGTTTAAATCGAAAACCCTATAAGAATGCGAAATCCAAAATATTAGATGAGACTTGAGTGGTGCATGGGGTTTTTGGTTTCGATTGGAGGGGCATAGGTTTCGGTTTGTTCTAACTGAAAACGATCCTCATATAAGGATTATTGATTTTAAGTTAAATGAAAACTGATAAGTCGTTGGTTCGGCTTCGGTTTTGGGGAATCAGGCTGTTTCATTTTTATTTTATTTTAATGGTTTATGTTCGGTTAACCAAATCGAACTAAAACCCCTAGTAATGACATAGTGGTGACATTATTAAGCACAGTGTTGTCAAGCCGTTAACCAACCGACCTTTTGGACCAGGTCCGACTGGAGTTGGTGCTCAAAATGCCACCCCCATAAGCCATTTTGCCTTTAAGTCGATAGCCAGTCAAAACTGTAAAAACCTATGGTCTGACCGAATTGACCATTTTCGACTCTTAAACATAATGAGATGTTTTAGCCCTCTCCCAAACTCAATTATGGAAAACAAAGCATATATACACCGTTTTTAGGGTAAGATAATATATTTATTGTTAAATTATTGTATGTTACCTATTAAGTTATATTCAGGTTCTTAAAATCTTAAATTATTATCATATATATGTATATATTTCTATATTATGTATAAAATGGCCATACCATAAGCCAATCAATAAATCTCAAAACATTTGCTTGACCGATTCAATGATTTAAGCATGATTATTAGAATCATAATATCTATCCTCACAACGCTACTTCCCAAGCAAGCCTACTACCACAGACCATAGTGAGTAGTCACCTCACCTCTACCCATTGCATCATTAGGTTTGGATAGATGATAGATCGCATATCTCTTTCATGATAAAAATATATAACATCAATGCTCGAAATTTTAGGGGAACTACTCCGTAGATTTTGAGGTTTTCTGGGTTGTGAGCTTGTCAGGCATTGTAGGAATCGTCTGAATTTAACGAAATTTCTCTAAGATCAAGAAGTTCTTTACGACTTTGTGAACTCCAAAAATTATAGTTCATGCTATCCAAAATTATCTTTCTTGCAAGTGGAGAAACCACGTCATTTTGATTGCCCGAACACTTTAATTTTCAGACTCTGACTTTAAGGTACAAATTAAAATTTGTACCATAACACTAAGGAAAAAGAGACCCAGAATTGAAATTCGGACTAGATATAACCAAGTCATAGATATACGGAATCATGTTAGGATATTTTTTCAAATGAGGTATGTAACAAGAACATGAGTTATGCATACAAGGAAAGATGTGTTAGTTTTTCTTTTGAAGTACAATAAAAGAGAGGATTAGTTTGTTTGTAGCGAGGTTGTCAACCAGCGTGTCGCCTTGCTGGTTGGCCCGCTTTGACGCTGACCTAGTGAGAAAACCGGGTCGTATACGCTCGTCGAGTCGACCCTCTACAAGGTATCAGATTGGAGTTCAATTGACATCGTTTTTCCTTTGGTTTGTGAAATGCACCTATTTTTCAATTTTTCTTTTCGCCTGACCCAATTTTTGGAATTATAAGTTGAACATTTGAACATTGGTGTTATATAAGTGTGTGTGAATCCTCACTATATGTTAGATCCAAGTACGATATGTTATTTTGGTGTAATATTATATGTTATTACTCATATGTTAGATGAGATTTTATATAATTTATGAATATATGAACAATATAATGACTTTTACCACATATCTGAGTTAAACGATCGACCCATTAACTCTCAATTCACTTGCTCGACCGAACCAACACGCTAAACCTGGCTGACAACCTTGGTTTGTAGGTATAAAGAAGAAATATATCGTTATATATGGACATGGAGCCTTTTTTTTGAATGAAATAAGCTAATACTCACTTCCACGCTTCCCTTTTAATTGTTTTAGTAATATATCTTTTATATATTTGAGAGATTATCAATGGTCTAAAGTATTAAGTAATTTTATATATTTCAGTGGGAGTATGTATCTAAAAAATTATTCTTTGCATATTTTTTGCACAGTTTCTAACTAATAAACCGAACCAAATAATATTTTCATAAATACATTTTACATAATTTTGCGCCACTTAACCACGTTAATGAAGACAAATTAAATCAATCAATTTATATATTTGAAAGACAGTCATATGAACTAAAGAAAAATAAGGAGGGAGTGAGGTCGATTTGAATTTTAAATTCAACCGGGTTCACATTTTAATTACACCACTAAAAGTAACGTTTAATGGCAAGGTTAAATTACAATTTTGCAGGACTTATATTTCATATCAACCAAACATTAGGTACTGTACAGTAATTAATTATCCCAAGTACTTTCGCTTTCGCTTGTTTCAAAGCGCTGGTCGCGGCAAAATTATGGATCGGCAAAATACCGACGGCCACGATTACACTTTACCCCTCCCTAGATTCCAATCTCCCCTCTCTCCTTTTCGTACCCCTTCAAGTACAGGGAACAGAAAAAGAACAGAGAAGGAAGAAAAGGATTTCAGATTTCCCTTTTTCGTTTTCGTTTTCCTTTTCAGTTCTCCTCAAATATATATAGAAATGGAGGGAAGGGATGTATAAATATAGATTAGGGAAAGGGAAGGAAAGAAAGAAAGCGAGCACAGCAGAGCAGACGCAGAGCTCCATGGGTGTGCTTTCTTCCTTCTAGCAACAGACATGTTCCCCCCAATCCTCCCAAGAATAACCAACTGCTAAAGATATCCCATTCCCAACTTCTTTGGTTGATTATCCGTTCCCATTTCCTCCTAATCTTTCACCCTTTTTTTTCTGTTTTGATCTTCCTTCCCAATTTCCCCTTTCCTTTTAGAGCCAGCCCAATGGTGTAGGCAAGCTCCAGCCCTCCCCTTTTTTGTTTGTTGTTGTTGTGTGGGAAACTTCAATCGTCAACCTCTTTTAATCTTTTTCTGTTTCTTCCTTTTTCTGGGTTTTGTTTCAATCTTCTTTCAGGTGTCTCTTTTTCTGGGTATTGAGAAGTTGGATTAAGGTCAAAAAGGAAAACAGGGGAAGAAGAAGCTCTTGTTTTTTCCTGTATATGTTGTGAAGATTTCAGAGATACCCAGAAAGAGTTCTGCGAGGAGATATGGCTACTACGGAAGGTGAGATACATTCGCAAACTTTACCAATTCGTTTCATCTTCCCTTCTCTGGCTGGTTTCTGGGTTTTCTGTTTGGTTGCCGGGGAAAGCGAAAAGGGGAGAGGTAAAGTGCAGGAATGGAGGAGGGGACAGGGGTCTTGAGAATTGAGATTATTGTTGTGCCCCAAAAGAAAAAAGGTGCCTAACATGTGTTTGATATAAGTCCTGAATGAAGTTCTCTTCAGCCTTCCGCTCGTCAATCTTTTACAGCTCTTTTGGCATTATCTGTTGCTTTCCGGGATTAGGGCTGCAAAATAAATCGTTTGTAATTTCTTACTTGAATCCAGAAATAAGGTCAAATGGGTTGCCCCTATCCCTTTTAAATCTTTTAATTATTATTCTGAAAGCAGATTACCGTTTGGTTTCCGAATGTTACCTTGTCCTTTTCACATGCTTTTGGCGGGCAGGCCTGATTATGGTGTTCCTCTTTACTTTATCCCCGCTCATATATTCTGATACTTTTCGTGCTGTGTTTGAATCAAGAAGAGACAGCAGTTGCTGAAACTCAAGAAATCCCAGAAATGGAGAGGGATTTCATTCTTGAAGAACCTTCACCAAGATGTGTTCTGGAGGTTCCTATCTCAGGAGGTTCAGACCCAGATCCTGACCCTGATCACACCACCAGTTCCACCGGTTCCGGCAGCATGTCGTCGGAGAGACAGCCGGCGGAGGACATCACAGATACAGAAATGGATCCCGCAAATGATTGCAACCAGTGGAAGTCCATGTTCGACACCATTAGGAAGAAGTCAGTGAGGCGGTTCTCTGTAATCCCACTGATCACTACCTACGAGGTTATCACCAGGAAGAACATCAAGAAGAAACTTTCCCGGGTTAGGAACCCCTGTGATGTTGTCATTGACTATGATGGCTTCCCTGTCCCTAAACCCTCTTGGAGGAACTTTGATTTCAGCGAGCTCGCTGCTGCTACCGAGGATTTCTGCCCAGGTTAGGGAAATGCTCAAACTTTTCTGAATGTTTGTTCAAAATAGTCATAGCAAGCTGCTGACTTTAGGATTAGTTCTGATTTCTGAATCTTCTGGAGTTAATAATTAAGTTTTTGGAAGTTATTCAGAGCCCTCAGCTGCAAATCTTTGACTAATTACGGTTAGATGGTGAAGTTTAGGAGATATTAATATGGTGGGGGATAAGAGCTGCTTGACTAACTGAATGTCTGTTAGAGTGATTTGTTGACTTTTAACTGCTAATATGAGCTTTAGGTTGCCGTGATGATGTCAATATATCATTGAGATGGTTATGATTTTAATACTGGTTCTGTTCATTCTTGGACTGGACTTTTTTCTTTTTGCGGGTTTCTACTTCTTTCAACAACTTACTGATTCTGTGAGTTGAAAATTTGGCAGAGAACATGATAGGGAAAGGAGGTCATGCAGAAGTATACAGAGGGCAATTACCTGATGGCCAAATTGTGGCTGTGAAGAAGATAATGAAAGCAGAGAAGCAAGATGAGGACCTAATAGCTGATTTCTTGTCAGAACTTGGGATAATTGCACATATAAACCACCCAAATGCAGCTAGACTTATAGGCTTCAGCATCGATAGTGGTTTGCATCTTGTGCTAGAGTTCCTACCATATGGCAGCCTTGCAAATAAGCTCCATGGTGCCCTCCTGCTACTTTCTAATCCTTGCTTTTCATTCTTCTCTTCATACATGAACTATGTTTAGCATTGAATTGTCATGACATTATTATTCAACGTTTCTGCAGGTTCGGAAGAGTTTCTAGACTGGGAGAAAAGGTACAAAGTTGCTATAGGAATTGCAGAAGGTCTTAGGTATCTTCACCATGATTGCCCTAGGCGCATCATCCACAGAGATATCAAAGCATCAAACATCTTGCTTGGTGAAGATTATGAAGCTCAGATTTCTGATTTTGGGCTGGCGAAATGGCTCCCAGAGAATTGGGTTCAGCACATTGTCTACCCAATTGAAGGCACATTTGGGTGGGCGCCAATTTCCATGCATACTCACCTTTTCTTATTCTCAAACATTTGTTTGTAACTTGAACTTTGGGTTTCTCAGATACCTTGCTCCGGAATACTTCATGCATGGAGTGGTTGATGAGAAGACAGATGTGTTTGCCTTTGGAGTCCTGTTGTTGGAGATCATCACAGGTCGCCACGCAGTTGACTCCTCCAGACAAAGCCTTGCTATGTGGGTATGTAGTGTTTCTTGCCTTCTACATGATGTGGGACGTGAGTCAAAGTCTATTACTTTTACATCAACCTGCATATCTATGGTCTCCAGGCAAAACCATTGTTGGTGGAGAACGATGTGAGTACATTGGTGGATCCAAGATTAGGAAATGATTTCGATCCCATCGAGATGAAGCGTGCAATGGTGACAGCCTTTCTGTGCATTGACCATGTCTCCAAGATGCGACCCTCTATGAATCGGGTAAATTGATTGTTTGCTCATAATTACTTTTCTGAACCAGACAGTTAAACCGAGTTTTCTTCACCATTGGTAGGTTGTGCAATTGCTGAATGGGGAAGACCTGACAATTGATATGGTGATGATATCGAAGACGAGCTCAGGGAGGGCAGTGATATTGGACGCTAGTGACTTGCAAGATTACACATGTACCAACTACCTCAACGACCTTAACCGTCATATGCAGCTTGTGATGGAATGAATGGAGAGTCATCAATCATCCTAACAAGCTCACATATTACAATATTCTGTATCTATAAGAAAGAATTGATGTTGTATGGGAAAGAAGGTATGCTCCCAAATGGGTTGCTGGCTAATTTTGGCACCATTTCCATGGTTAATCTGTTCTTCTTCTATGACTTGTCCACATGAGAAAAAAGGGGTTGGTTCAAAGAAGGAGATGAAGAGGAGAGGACGGATGCCTTCTGTAAATTCGTTGTGTGTGGGAAGGATGACAAGTCAATTTGATTTAATCTGTTTTTTCTGTTTCTTCTTTGTTGGTAGAAGCATTTTCCTAGGTATTTGTAAAGGAGGCAAAGGAAAAGAAAAGGGAAACCGTCCCTCTTTTGTGATTGGGGAAATCACATATAGGGGCAACTTATGAAAGTATCTGGCTAATTTCATACAAGTTTTTCCACATGAAATTAAAATCAATACAATGGGAAAAGGGGAAATTTTTGTTTCCCCTGTTTATTTGTTTCTACTTTGGCCTTGTACTTCACTTCATTTCTTCGTATATGTTCAAGTCTTAAAGAAGAGCTTCAGCTTGAATTTCAAGTTTCACTTCCTCGAGATCATTAAGGGGTCGTTTGGATTGAGTATTTAAGTGTGTTATTTGGGGTCAAATAACACAAAATCTGTTATTTGACCCCAAATAACATGTTTGGCTGACAAAAAGTGGGATGCGTTATTTGGATGTAGTGTTTTGCCAAATAACAGGTTTTAGTCCAAATAACACAAAAAGTGTTGTTTGCCAAATACTTGGTAGGGGCAGGTATTTGCCAAATAACAAGTTTGAGACCAAATATCACATACCAAATAGCAGGTTTTATATTATGTGGTATTTGTGTGGTAATTAGCCCCAAACAACAAGTTTATCAAATACTCAATCCAAACGAACCCTAAGAAATTTCGTAACAATTCACTTTGGTTGTGGTGTTTTAGGTCGACTAGATGTGTATTGACTCATGGAGTAAATTTCAAATTTAATGTTTTCAAAAAAAAATTAAAGATTCATGAAACTGGAAGCCAAAACTTGATCAAATAATAGATAGTTAGATACGATTTCTAAATCTTTAAATCCCAAAATGCAAATCCTCAAATCTCTCTCCAAAAACTAAGACTTTCATATCAATCATTTTAATAACTTATTGGATCCATATTTTACTATTACTTCGGTCAATACTTGTAAGGAAGTGGTTAAGCACCATACACGGGCTTGTATAAGATCCAACATAACCTTCTCCCAACAACTCGAGTTATTGGGACCAACTTTTTTATAACATGGTATCAGAGCAAAACTCGACCCCTTGTCTAGGGTTTTGAGCTTCCGCAGTCAGCATCTGTTGTCTCTCACGACAGCATCAACGTCATCAGTCTGACGTTTCCTCCGCTCAAGGAGCTTCTTCCTCTTGTAGGCGCTGTCCAACTCCGTAGTCCTCTTCGTTATTGGCAACACAAAGGTCAAGCCCAAAAAGAGACTCCGATCTGGCGCCGAGGGTGTCTCCGTCAACGTCGATGATCAAGGGATTTATATGTTGTCCCCGTCGGTCTTCATAGGCGAAGTATTCGTCTCAATTATCATATCACAGCTAGCTAGCCTTCCGTGCACCAACGGAGTTCATCCCGCTATTCTCGTCGGAAACTACAAACGATGCCAACGTCGCTCCGCCCGCCAAATCAGATGTTTGCAAGCCAAGAGAAGCTTCTCCGTGCCAGCCAAGGTGGCTCCGGCAACTGGGTTCACGCCATCAACGACGACTCCGTGGGCTCGTCGCAAGTCATCAATCGTCATCCCCACCAGATCGATGCTATTTTCCCCCAGATCAGCCTCCAAAATCAAGGTTCGCCGCTCAGATTCGAGCTCCCACCGTCGCGACTTCTCTGTCGGTGCTGCCGTAGTCTTCTGTCTCGCTTTTCAACCATTCATCATTTTTCAAGCCGGGCATTCACGATGTTCATGCTCCAACTTGAGGGGGAGAATAGGAGGTCAACATACGTCGGTCGACTATTCAGTCATCAGGTCGACCGCGATGTACCAAGTGTGTTCAAGTTCAAGAGACGCAGTCAACCGTTTCCATCATCAGGTTGTTCAAAGAGAGTCAGTTGTCTCCAATCAACCTCGTCCGAGATGTTATTCATCTCGAGTTTTGTGGTTCAAGCCATCATGCTTGTTCTTCACATTTACTTCTTCAAGCTCGACATTCTTGTCATTCATGTCTTCGCTTGAGGGGGAGTGTTGTAGTTACTTAAACCGTGTTAGTATTGGGCCTTGTTGGGCCTTGTCCGAGTTGTAGTAGGTACGGATATGTGGCCGTACTCAACTCTTCTCATTAGGGTTTTAACCCTAGTCTATCTCTATATAAGCTTAGCTACGAAATTGTCGTAAGCAAGCCGTCAACATGTAATCCTAATAAGAGATTAGCTGTGAGCTCTTATGAGCTCACCGTGGATTAGTCTCGATCAATCGGTTGAGGATACCACGTAAAATCGTCGTCTCGTGTGTTGTTCCAATTTCGCGTCATCAAATTCTTCAATACTGAATACTACGATGCAGCTGTAATTAGTGCAAAACAGATAACACGGCTTGTGAATGGTAGGAATGGCAATGGGGCAGGTCCGGGGCGGGTATCTCGATATCCATACCCGCTCGATGGCAGGTCAGGTAATTTATCAAGGGCGCGGGTCGAGGCAGGTTGACCCAATGTGTATGTAATTTATGTGAAAAACATTAATAATATTCATTATTTTCATTAAAAGACTAAGAAAGAAACCATAATATGAAAAAATGTAGTTAAATTATTGGAGAAATTGTGATTTTCTCTTATTTACAACTGTATTATAGCTAAAATATGAGGTAGTAAGAGGAAAATCCTAGGATTACATGTAATTTAGACAAGAACAGGTCGAGAATGGGGCGGGTCAGGGCAGGTCGGATCGATAAGAGGTACTCATGCCTGCCCCGCCCCGCCTACGCGGCGGGTCAGACCGCCACAAAACATGCCGATAATTCAGTTAAAATCATTTATTTTTATCCTAGAACATAACAAACCCGATGAATGAAAAAGGCAAAGGAGAGATCGTGTTCTTCAATCCAGCGCTCCGACTATGAAAAGAACCAATTGTTCGGCGAACTTCATCATCGCTGATCCAATCTCGAGTATGTACCTTACTATCCACTAAACTCATTGTATTCCTCCATCTACATTCGTTATGTAAAGAAAAGTGTTGAATCCTGGTTTCCAGTGACCCTGTGTCTTGTTCAAATTGCTCTGTCGCCATCATACAAGACGATCTGAAGCCAAAGGAAGCTAATTCAAACGGTAGAATTGAGAATGACTTGTTAAATCTTGCTAAGTATAAACTTAAGAAAGAAAATCCAACATAAATGAAGGTAAAAACAAACAACTAAGTTATGAGGGGGAAAACAACTTAAGCATATTGAGGCTCTGCCTTGCGCCTAGCATGCTTAGACGTCATCCTAGGCATATCTAGAATCACAAGTTTATGAACCAATGTCATTACATCTAGGAATGGCAATTGGCCGGATTGGGTTGCGTTTTGCCAAACTCAAACCCAAACCCATGGATATATCCACCAATAAAATTCGGGGTAAAATCCATTGGGTTTGAAAAACTCAAACCCAACCCATCTCGCTGGATATGTGCGGGTTTATGGATACCCATGGGTTCTGTGGTCAAAAAAATGTATAATAACAAGTTCCTGTCAAAATAAAAGTTTACGTCATTTTCCCCACACAAATTATCTAAACAAAAAAATACTAATCTAGAGCATACAAGCAAATCACAAAATATCTATACAAATTGTTCAACATTAAATATAAACATCCATAAACAACATTATTAATTGAAAACTTTATCCTCCTTGTCAACTAAACTTCTTCACTCTCCACTTCATAATATCAACTTCATTCTACAAAACTAGTAAGAACAAATTAGACATGTCTTCACAAAAATAAGGAGGATTAGTTGTTTGAGGAAGATATATACTGCTTAGCATATTTAATATACCAGTAACACATGAAGTAGAATCTGGATCTTGGTCATCATTAATGGTGGCATCGAGGTCAAGTGGCTATAGGGTTGGGGGCAGTTTCTTTTCTTTTTGGAATTATGGTTAGGAATTAGTATGTGGGATGGCCGAATGGGAAGTGGTAAGGGATTCGTGATTGGGGATGGGTACGGGTTGGAGCGGGTTGGATATAGCTAAACCTGAATCCAACCCAACTCGCAAAACAAAACGGGTTTAAATCAGAACCTGACCCATAATCCATCAATGTGGGTTTTATCCGCGTTAATCGGGTTGGGATGGGTAGGGTACTCGTGGGTTCGGATTATGTTGTCATTTCTAATCGCATCTACCTCTTATTTCTAAACTTTCAGCAACAACACATGGTAAAACATAAAAACATAGTGTGGAGAAATAAGTAAGGAAGAAGAAGTTGGAAAATCGCGAAGCAGGTTGAGAGCGAATAAGCGCAAAAAAGAAAGAAGATGGACTCTAAAGATGGTCGCCTCTAACTATATTCTAGCCTATCTATAGAGAAATCAAGACCGTCCTCCCTAGTAGCATTCCAAAGGTAGAAAAAAGATATTATTACATCATTTTGAGGCGCAACTCAACGCTGACTAGCTGCCATTGAGGCTCCAAAGTGATCGTGCCGCCTTATCTGCTGCTTTTTGTCAATGCGGGACTTTTCTTTCTAACTTGCGCCTAAACAAGGTTAGACGAATATCTATACGTGCTTTTTAAAACCATGATATTTATATTAGCTCAAAGCAAATTTGTCCTATACCCGTATTTTGGAGATACGAGGAGCTTGGGCATTGGCGGGCCGGAATGATCACCCACTCCTCCATTACAACAACTCCAATTTAACTAAAACGATTTCCACCGTAATAGTCTTCCCAACCTCACCCTAATTTCTGCTTACCAACAACTCCTGCATTTGACAACAAAGAGCAAAAAAACTCCAAGAAAAAAATAAATAAATAAAGGAAAGCAATAAAGAGCGCTCCTTATTCCTTAATATATGTATTACATAGAAGTGATTAGTGTCTATTGATATTGTTGAATTATTTTTTAATGTATCCCTAGTCGATAGATTACATTGTTAATCTGCGACTGATAACGTATAGGAGTAGTGGCGGAGCGAGAAGATCGAAACATACGAAACCTTTTAAAAGGTATCAATATTCAATATTATATATTCATAGTCTAGCTAATTAGTTTGAAGTTCATTAGTTTAATTCAATTGCTATACCAAAAATGTACTTGAAGTTGAGAACTCAGTAACTCACTCTCCGGCACACATTTTCACTGTAAAAAGAAAAGTAAAAAACCGAAACAAGAAGAAATCAAGGACGGCTGCCAGCGCGATCTGGATTTGGGTCTTCCAAAGGCCACCGCCCGGCCCACGAAAGCCGAAACCCCCGCCCTCACTTTGACTCAAACCCTACACCTGCTTCCCCACCTCCGCCGCTCTTCCGACTCTCCATGACGACGGACGGCGCCTTCCAAGTGGCGATCATCGCACTCACCGTCGCCGTCTTCGTCGCAATCCAGTACCTCTCCAAGCTATTCCTCTCGAGGCAGCGAGCCAACAACCGCACCGCCCTCCAATCCAACCGCCACTTCATCCAAGGCTCCCAATTCCTCGCCCGAGCCAGATCCGCCGCCGCCAAGAACTCCTCCCAGTCCCAATCCCTAGCCAAACAGGCCCTCGCCGAGGCCGAATCCGCCGCCGCCCTCTCCCCCAAGGACCCGGCCCCGCTCGTCCTCAAATCCGTCGCCCTCGATCTCCTCGGCCACAAGGCCGCCGCATTGAAGGCAATCGATTCCGCGCTCTCTCCGCCGCGCGGGAAGGCGCTGCAGGGGAAGGAGCGAGGCGACGCGCTGGTGAAGAGAGCGGAGCTCAAGGTCGCCGTGAATCGGCGGCGGCGGGTCGACTCGGCGATCGAGGACCTGACGGAGGCGGTGCAGCTGGGCGCGGGTGGGGAGAAAGGGTATTGCTTGTTGGGCCAGTGTTATGAGTGGAAAGGATCCAAGGAGGATGCTAAATGGGCTTACTCAGAGGCCTTGAAGTTTGAGCCCAATTCTAAGCTTGCCCTCGACGCACTTGGCGGATTGAGCCCGTAACATTTGCACCTATTCCTTTTCTCTTCCATGTTGTAACAAATATTTCTACTTCATTGCATTGCTAGATTTTGCATGAAGTTTGTTTGAGACTTGAACTAAGCAAACTTTGTGAACAACTTCACATTCCAATGTAATGATCGAAGACATCATTCCCCCACAAACTCGACTTTGACACACTTTGAGGCATCCGCCGAGCAATTTATCAATTAGAGCTTCCGTCCTCGACATTAGGTGGTTGAATCTTTCGCCCATATTGGGCTGTACAGCAGCAGATGGTGGTGCAGATATCATCATTCTCATCGGGCCATGTTCTCTCCATCTGACTCAATGGTGAACTAATTAAAACCGGATTGAGCTCGTAAAATTTGCAACTACATTTGTTTCTCTTCCATGTTTGTATCAAAAAATTCCTGCCTCATTGCATTGCTAGATTTTGCATGAACTTTGTTGGGAGACTTGACTGGAACTAAAGCAAACATTGTGAACACCTTCATATTCAATCTGTCTGATGTAACAATGGAGATCTCAAATTCCTGCTGGAATCGACTTTCACACACGTTCTGGCATCCAAGCAACTCATCGATTCGAGCACCTCTCGATATTAGATTGTACAGCAGATCATGCTGCAAATATCGTCATCGTTCATGGTCTCTCCCGACTCTATGGTGAACCGGTTAAAATAGAACGGAACTACGAAAGTGAATACCAATCAGGCAATCGCCATAACCGCTAGCTTCAAACATGTTGACCCACTTGGTGCATCGTTGGCAGATGTATTAAATACACAATCACCAATACGTTGGGATTTCAGAATGCTTGGATTTTAATGGCACTGATATCGAAATCAATGGATTCCTACGAGAACTCAAGGTGACCAACCAACCAACCAACCCATGGAAATTGATGCAGAAGTAATAATCAATCAACCTCGTCCTCCTTTTCAAACCATTCCTTCCACCACTTACAGCAGAGGCAGCCCGTAATGAGAGGGAGAGGAACCCATCATTGTTCTCATCGACTGCAGCAAAACAATAATTCCCACCACCACCAATCCTCCATTTCCCACCTGAAAACCTGATAGATACTCTGCTCTCTGCTCATTGACCAAGTCTCCACACCCAGTCTTGGAACTTGGATACACAACAGAATAATTGCAATGAACAAAATGAAAACAAAGGCCACTGAAAACCTGAAGGAATATTCAAGATACTCTGAAGAAATAAACAAAATCCGCTTAAAGTTCTGGAAAGGATGCCATTGCCCGAGAAACCCATCATTCAACTACATGATGCTACTTACAAAATTCCCACCACCACCACCAAGCTTGCTTACTGAACATCGCTTTCTAGACTACTGAAAACTGAAAAGGAAGAAAAACAGAAAGGAACTTAAACCTACTTTAACACCACCATTTTTCCTGCTCCTAATCCTGCATAATTCAACCGGAACCTACATACTTTTGCGGGTCAGAAAGAGTCCCACGGTCTCAATCTTTCATGGTCAGAGGGGAAGAACAATGCTTTTCTTAAAGCTCACTACTGTTAGCAGGTTCCCAAGTCAGCAAAACCTCTCTTTTTCTCTAACAAATTAGTAAGGCTGATGAGGCCACAGGAAGAAGTCTGTTGTCTGTGGCAACATGGAGCTCATCGAATTCTCCATGTTCGAGGCCGAACCAGAGGAGTCTCCTCCACCGGGGTTGCTGCCAACACCGGACATGTGCTGGAAGAGGTTGTGATGATGGTGGTAGTAGGCAGTTGTTGCGTCAAAGGGGATACCGCAAGGGATTGTTGAAAGCGGTTGCTGAACCGAACCGAAACTGATGCTATTGCTGTTGCACTGTTGTTGCTGCTGCTGCTGTTGTAGTTGCTGATCATGGCTCATCAGCGTTGGTTTCTGCTCGGCATCCAGAGAGATTTTTAGTCGCTTTGCTGCTCCACCAATCGGAAGGGCACTCTTCATGATCGCTTCCACGTCGTAGCGATTCATCTCGAAGTTTGTCACCGCATTCAAGCCCCTGAATTTTATGGCTGCTATGTCGTATGCCTCTGCTGCTTCCTCTTCAGTGGCTGCCCAATGTTTTGTTAAGGTTTAGAGGTCTGTCTACCCAGTTTCAAGTGGCTTTCATATTGTCAGTAAATTTAAAAAAGCACCAAACTAACATGCTTAAATGCTTACCAAATGTGCCGAGGTACAAGTCTTTGTTCCCAGCAACACGTCCAATCCTTGCTTGCCAACGACCTTGCTGGTGATGCCTGCCGTTACAGGGATTGGACCATAAATAATCAGAGAACATCATCACCATATGTTATGCAACTGAAGAACGAAATCACAATCAAATACTAACCTTGTAACACCCCTGTATATGGAAGCACCCCTGGAGAATCCACTACTTTTCCTGCACAGTAAATTAGATTTTATATAAAATGTAAAATTTTGATGTTAATTGAAGTGGAAAACAAACATAAACTGTTCAAAATCTGGCAAATTATGCATAGGTTACCTTCTCAACGAGGCAATGAACTCCTGTTTTGATACATACTTCATCTCTTCCAGTTCCTTGTTATAATTAGACACCTGCAAAGCCACAAAACAATCTGTAAACAAAGACGTAATCCAAGCGAATAGAGTGAACTATCGCTCGAGGAAGAACCAAAACCGGGGAAAAGATAGTTACAGGGAAGTTGGTCGTGGCGGTGGGGCCCCAGTATTTGAGGGCAGCCAAATCATAAGCTCTAGCTGCTTTATCTTCTTTATCATATCCACCTGAAACCCAATAATGGGGTTTTCACTTTTCAGTACACAATAGTAAAAAAAAAAACGAAATGAAACTGTTCCAGGTAGTAGATAACCAAGAAAGTTGGATATCAAGGAAACCAACTGGGGAGGAGGGGGGTTGCAGAGTTCAGTCAGCTTTACCTAAGTACACTGCAGGAGAGAGGCAGGCAACCCAAAATGTGAAACAGGTACAGGCCATCCAGAATTTCCCCATACCAGCAAGAAAACAACCATTTCAATGTAAGAATCCCATATACAAGGTCAAAAAAAGATCCCGAAGAAAATAACATCCAATAATGTCACTCCAAAGGAATAATAGATGCACCATGTGAGTCACTCACATCGGCCAGGCCATATTGCAATAATCTATCTTTTTTGTTATGAGGAATCTCAATTCAGTAGATACACAGTTTGCACAGTAAAGAGAGAAGCATGCATTCACGATATTGTTTAATAAAAAGGTGGCATTTCCTTATGTGTGAAAGGATCAGTATTTTATGGGGCGGGCCGCAGTTACTAGGATGGCAAACCATTGTCAGCAAGTTACGGCAATAATGTTGGAGGAAGGGAGAAAGGAAGGGTTGTGTCACAATGTCACATTACATTACTCTCTCTGCACAAACATTTTTCAAAAGAAAACAGCAAAGAGAAAAAGCAGGGGGGAAAAAGGAAGAATAGAAGGGGGGGAAGTCTGGGAAATGGAAACAGTAGTACGTGGTTTGGTCAAACCTAAACAACCCTTTTGGTTGAAAGGGAAAAGAGAGGGGAAACAAAAAAAAAAAAAAGCAGAACTGGAAAACGCCAAAGAAACAGAAAAAAGAAGTTTCTTTCATTAATAACCCAAGGAACCATTGGCCTAGCTATATCAACGACAACAATGGACATGACTATAATTTTGAGGTGGTCCGTTCAAATTCCATGTAAATCGTTCAAACTCAATGGAAATCTCAGTATTTCCCACGTAATCACAAGGGTAGTGTAAATCATTAGTCAGACTCACGAAAATGCTTCTACACAGGCTTTTGACTGCATTTTGTGCAACAATGTAATCAAAATCACGTTTTAAAGCCTAAGCTTTTAACCTTCCAGGTCATCAAAATGATTGCTCGTAGAATCGAACTTTTGACTGCATTGTTTTGTACCATTAAACTTAGAAACAAAAAAGGATGTGGGTAATGAATAGAAACCGTGTGCAGAGGCCAGAGGGAGAAGGCATGGTGAGGGTGTGGAGACTGTAGAGGGAGGGAGGGGGGGACCCAGGTGGTGATGTTATCAGAGTTGTGTGGAAAAAAGGAAAGGAAGGAGAAATTTGTAACAAAATGGCGGCCCATCTTATCAAATCAATCAAACCAAGGGACTGAAAGAAATGAATGCCAGCATCAGTAATATGAAGAAGAAGAAGAAGAAAGAATCCAAGTAAAGAAAATCCCCTCCCACGAAAAGAAAAAAAGAGTACCAATTTGTACAACAAAGAAAGAAAAATGTATATACTTGTCTCCATCAAACTGGTACGCATCAATCATCAGAAAAGGCTCTCCCTCTCTCTCTATGCAAGGTTCCAAAGCTCGCTCAAAAGGAAGAAAAGAAAACTCAATGGCGGAAGAAATCAGAAACGTTCATTTCAGTCCTGCAGAAATCCAATTTAATGCCCAGAGCCACAGCAGCGCATGCAACAATCTGTTGTATCTCTCTCCGTCTCACCAACAAATATATATATTACCCAGATGAAATCAAAGGTACCCGTCTCGTCCCTCGGAAATCAGGAATGCAGACCAAGACGAGATAGATAGAGATAGAGAGAGAGAGAGAGAGAGAGAGAGGATCAGAGTTAGAGAGAGAAAGACCTTGACGTCCTTTTCTGGCTTGACCTTCTCTCCTACAGCTGTTATCCCATAGATGCGCTTCATATCTGCCTGTCCATCTATGCCTGCACCACCACCACCACCATTGCCAAACAAAAAAAATAAAAATAAAAACCAAGAGAAAAAAAGAAGTTAATTAACTAGTTCATCCATTGAACACGAGAAATGCGCCTTAATTAGACTGATTAATTAACTAATTAATCACTCCTGTCACACATCAAGCAACAGTATAATCAAGCTCTACTGCTTCTTCCAGAGTACTCTTTTGTATGAACAGATTCAAATTTCAGATACGGAATGCGGGGGAAGAAGATGGAGACGGCAGGCGACAGACTAACCTCGTGACGCCTCGGTAAATGGAAG